TATGTGTGTTTTTTTATGTAATGTATCTTTTACAATGCCAGTTTGTCATCTAAAAAGCAGGGCTGTAATAAACTATTCATTTTGTTAATTATCTTTTATTTGTGAAATTATAAATGTTTGCCCTGCGGGCTGTCAAAAATAATGATTATAACCAGTTAACATTCATATTTGGTGAAGATTTTCATTAAACCTTTGTCAGGTGACTTCTGTTTACAGGATCACTGAGTTTGAATGTTGCAATAATGCAAATCAACATTTGCAGCAGGGAGAAACTGTTCTTGACTAAATGATTGAGCCTGTGTCTGCAGGTATCGTGTGTGCAGCGAGCCATGGAGCGCGTCATGGGAGGAGGAATGCTGCCGCTGGTTCTAGCGAGTGTCGGGGTCTTGCTGTTGTACCGGATAATTTCCCGCCTCAGACCAGGAGCTGCTCTGCAGGATGCTGTGGTGGTCATCACAGGGGCCAGCTCTGGACTGGGGAAAGGTTCGTCTCCCACTCATTTGTTCCTCACTTCAGCTTGTTGTTGGCGCAATGTTCTCCACCAATCTAGCTTCACTGATTTACAGCAAGTCGGAACTGGATGTGTTCTTTGTTTTTGCAGAGTGTGCGCAGGTTTTTCATGCTGCAGGTGCACGGCTTGTTCTGTGTGGTCGAGATGCAGCCCGTCTGCAGCAGGTCGTCCAGGAGCTCACTGCAAGTTCAACAGGCGCACAGCAGAAGGTGTTTACACTAGAGCTGAGATAAAAAGGCAACGTATTGGATGGTCAATAATGTTCCGGTCTTTATTGCAGGCATTAGTAGAGGGATGACATTAAAGAGACCAAAGAGGACAATTTGACAATGTCACTGGTAGTCTGAGAAAGATTTTTACTGTTTCATAAACCCAAATTATTCTGTCTATTGACAAAATAAATGATGATGTGGGAGTTTTTCTCTGTAGTACCACTTAATGAGTGTGTATTAATAATGTAATTTAGCACTTTCAAAACAAGTATGTTTAATAAGAATCCAACACTAATCTCCATTAAAAGAAACAGTTTTTCCTCATCTGTGAACATCAATCTTTAATTAAAATACAAGAATCATAGAATGATTTGAATCAGCAGTGTTTAACTGTTGTTGTTCTACCAACAGACTCATGTTCCCAGAACTGTCGTGTTTGACCTGGCTGACTCGGACACAGTGGACAGAGCTGCAGAGCAGATCCTGAAATGTTATGGACAAGTGGATGTCCTTATCAATAACGCCGGAATCAGTTACCGCGGAAACATCCTGGATACCCATCTTTCGGTTCAACGGGACGTCATGGAGACAAATTACTTCGGCCCCATTGCTCTGACTCAGGGTTAGTGAGGAGCTGAGGTTTTATAGCATTTGGCTTCAGATGTGAGTCTTCATGTATAATGTGTGTTTGTTGCTATGGTTACACTGATAAGGAAGAGGCATTTGCAGATCGCCAAAGTTTTAAAGTGTAAACAGGACCACACAATATTTTATATTTATCATCAGTTTCTTTTTAACTCAGTCATTCGTCTCTGCTCCCTTCACAGCTCTCCTGCCCTCCATGGTCCGCCGGCGTAGCGGCCACATCGTGGTCATCAGCAGCATCCAGGGCAAGATTGCCATCCCATACAGATCAGCTTGTAATTTACCTTTTCTTGTTCACCAAACTAATTAAATGTCCCAGAGGTTGATGGGAAATGAAGCAGTACTGTGTTTTCAACACCAGATGCAGCCTCGAAACACGCCACCCAGGCCTTCTTCGACTGCTTACGGGCAGAGATCGAGTGCTACGGGATTCCAGTGACCGTGATCAGCCCCGGTTACATCCGAACCAACCTGTCCGTCAATGCCGTCACTGGGGACGGCTCCAAGTACGGAGGTGAGGCATTTGAAATATTAAAATATACAATGCAGGACTGTTTAAAGTAAAGATAATTGGATGTTAATCATTGTGACGAATAATCAGTCGTAATCATTAACAATGACTTGTTAAAGTAACTCAACAGTTTGTAAAAGTAGCTGACTGAAGTGTCCCTGATTCAGTTTCTTGTTTGTGCATCGCTGCTTTCAGTTTTGGATAAAACCACAGCTATGGGTTGGGATCCCAAAGACGTGGCTCTGGCAGTTCTGAAGGCCGTCCGTCACAGGAGCAGAGATGTCGTTTTGGCAGAACCTCTGCCGACCTTGGCCATCTACCTTCGCACGCTGTGGCCCGCGCTCTTCTTCAAACTCATGGCCTCTCGTGCTCGCAAGGAGCAGAAACTGAAAGACCGATGAAGGCTGATGCAGCTGCGGATTAAGTTTTTTGTCACATGGACCAAAACTTAACACTGACTGCAGCACACGGAGGCCGAATGAACATGTGATGTGAACAGAAGCTTTTCTTAAGTGACACAGTTTGAAGTGTTACTAGTAGAGAATCAGAAACTTGACCAGACTGTGTTTATTTATTTCAGGAACTAACCTTGTTCTCGAGCTCATCGCCGTTTTAACGTCATCTGGTAAATCCTTTACTGACAGATCCCAGAGCTCTCCTGTGACAACACTGTGATGCTGCTTTCTGAATTGACTCTGTGTCATGGACGTTACATGACAAGGGATTGTTTTGGTTTACTAGTTTTGATGTAAGATAACTTTTTTTTAATGCAGAGAAACCACTCAGCTTACTCTGGAAAAGAGGACAAAACTTAACTTTGATAACCAAGGCCCAACATTCCCCTTGAATTGAATTTAATTAATTTACTTTGCACACATACATAGATATCACTCTCAAATTGCCTGATTATTTTCATCAAGATTCACGAATGATTCTCTGGGAAATTATAATGTCAAAATTTGCTGAAGTTTCAAGGAAATCGGTTGAGTAGATTTTGTGTCATTCGGCTGAATGAAAACGTTACGACCTCGGTGGAGGGATTGACCCAAAGGCCACATGCTTCTCTGTAAATCGTAACATTTGAACTTTGATCACAAATTAAACACAATGAATACAAGAAACCATGAGCTGATTTTATAACTATCTTTATACAGAGAATAAAAACACCTTTTACAAACGGAACATTTTAAACAACAGGTTTTTTCCTTTTTAGATGTCGTCTTAATATTAAGTTAAACAGAAAACATTTTCAGAAATGTTACCAATAAATAGTCCAAATAACAATTTACAATATGTTACAAAAGCACAGTCAATACTGGAATTGCCATTTGTACAAATAAATCCTTAAACAAAACAAAAAAAGCCAGATTCAAAGACAAAACCTGCTGTTTATTTCTTCATGAAGAACATCTTCGTCGTTTCTTTTCTGGTGTGAGGAGATTAAACCTTTTTCAAACGTCTCTAACAAAGGATCGCCACAAGAGGTTTTAAAACGTAGAGTCAAAGCCGTCGAGGTGCCTGAAGGAGACCGACATTTTTTAAAATCCAATTTGTGGAATGACCAACAATTCTCCAACAATTCACACTAACAGAGACGAAGTTAAAACATGTTGATGAGGCAATATGTGTTCAATACTGCATAATGATGATGCTGGTAATTGAAATTCAAAGTCGGAGTTAACATGGTACATTTGTAGTCTCTCTGAACAACAGCGAAACTACATCAACGGAGTAAATCAAAAAAGAGGTTCAGAGCAGCCTGAGGTTAGAGCGATGGTGGATGTGTTTAGAGAAACGTTGACATTACCCAGTGTTCAGTGTCAATACTCATCAATGGACGATGTTCAGTCAGAGGGTTTTAATCGGGACTGCGAAAGTTAGAATGAGTGGAGTGTCAACTACAGCTTAAAAGTTTGATTACACAATGTACTTCTTATTTCAACTGGAGTGTGATATTAACAGAAACATGAGCAATGTTACTTCATCTGTAGTTGAGTCAAAACGCTGCCTAGTTATTTAAACTGCAATGTCTGAGTATATCATTAATATGTAAAAAAATTAGAAACTGCAGCTGAAAGTTTAATATGTGAAGAATGAAGTTGTTGTTGTTGAACAACAAACAAACCTAAAGGCTGTTTTTCGTAATTATAATCTCGAAACATTAAAATGTATGAAAATGTAATGAGGCATCGGTTGATGAAATTTAAACTGCTTGTATTTAAGCGACAGAAGCTGCCATTTTGCACGTGGCTTCCATAAACGGAAACCTGACTCCAAACAAACACAGCAGGCTCTACTCCTAAAACGTAACCGATAATACCTGAACTGGCTGCGATGAAGAGCATGTCAAATGTAGGGCAGGAGCAGAGGACTCTACGTCTTTCTGCTCGGCTGTGTTCGTGCTCCACTTTTGCTGCTGTGACGACTGAATATTCTCACTGCCACCACTTTCAAAAATCGCCTTCCGGCAGCTGTCTGCCACCAGCTGGGATCTGAACTGCACATTTTGGAGGATTTACACATTTTGGAGGTCGATCTGAGAGAGAAGATGACAGAAATACACACACTGCACGCACACACACACGCACGCACACACTCAAAGGTCAGGAGAAGACATAAGTTCAGTGAAAATATTTTGTTCAGATATGGCATTGTATTTTCCTGTACATGAGGTTGTGTTTTGTAAACGCATTTTCATTTTCTTAAGTGTTTGTTTTTAAAGGGCATTTCACCTTAGAGAACAGTCCAGTGAAACCAATGCATTTTTTAACTTTGAACAATGGTCAAGGTTCACTGTTATTATTGCACTTTAACAAACAGGGCAGGGACTGCTTATAGGGGCTTTTCTCCACAACTGCCTTTTCTACAGTGTAGAAGCGACAGAGGAAACAACAGTCTTGACATTGGGGGGACTCGGGGACTCGTCCTCCAGATGGCCCTGGTTTGGTGGTCCTCTCTTTTCTTCAGGGTGGCGGGATGGAGGGCTCGGTCACAGCCAGCTCCTGAGCCAGGTCGTTGAAGCGAGCGATGTAGTCCACGCTGCTTTCACTCATCATACAAGCAAGCTGAGAGTCCATCTGCAAACACAACCAAAGAGCGCTTGATGTACAACCGCAACGAGCCAAACTACGGGTGTGATCTAAGAAGATGGATTCCAGGGGGATTTTGAGATAAAGGTAAAACTACATAGATGTTAAATTTTTGAGTGTGCTTAAAAAAGACAGAATTCCTCCCTCCTCACATATCTCATGTTATCAAAGGCCTGAACTTCTCACCTCTGCCACATCAGGAAGACCACGGGACTGAAAGGAATCATGGGAGTTGCAGTCCAGGAGGCTAGGACCAAGCAAAGCTGTGCCACTGGAGGGGCCAGAGGGGGTGAGCGTGGTCCGCCTCCCTTTATCGGGGGACACCATACTGGCTAGATGAACATGGACAAAAGGTACATTTCAAACAACGCCAACATCTAAAACACGTGGAAGTATGTGAGCAGTGACGATTGTTTGAAACTGACGCATCTCTTCAATTAACCTTAAGCCTTTATCTTTCTTTTCTGGTATCAACTCATTGGAAAGATTCAAGCAGAAACGTACGACAGAGCTACAATGAAAATATGTGAATTTGTAAAAAGATAGTAGCAGTAGCAGTATCCGTAGTAATATTAATATCTGTTTGTGGATGGTTCTGCGGCAGAGAAAAACACGTACAGAGAAGGCATCCCAGTGTGGAGTCAGAGGAGTCGCTGGGGTACCACTGGGGGTCATGGCTGGGTGATGGGATCCAGCCTCGGGACGGGCTGACTGAGGGAGAAGAGGCCAAAAGTTTGGAGCCATCGTTGCTGCTCAGCTTGGCTGGAGAGAGCGCTGCCTCCTCACCTGCACCACGAGAGACAAGCAGCCATATTAGCTTACAAACACACACAGACAGACACACAGTGGTCAATAATCCTGATGGGTCGGAAGCTTAGTTGTCATCCACAGAATATTTCATGTGATTTCTAATCACTAATGAGAAGACAAATAAAATCTTGTCGTTTGGGATTTGCAAAACCTTTTTTTTCTGTCGTCACATCTCATTCCAACAAAAACTTTTGCACAAGACACAACATTTACACCTCCGAATTTAATGTCGATGAGGGTTAGAAACAGGCACGTACCACCGTAGTGGGCAGAGTTGATGGCGAGCTCGATGATGGAGTCACTGATGTGTGTTTGAGGTTCTCCGGGGGCTAGAGCCTCCTCTGGGGGCCCAGGCAGCGAGATGTCCAGGAGCGAGGCTACACTGGGTGGAGAGAGGAGTGAGTCTCCACCACCAGTCGCTCCAGGAGATGGCGGAGGCAAACCATTCTGCTGAAAGAACAAGTAGAACGCTTAAAAAGACACTTGGACTATACTGCACAGATGATTAGATACATTTACTAGTGTGAGGAGTGATCCAGCTCTGTTATCCTTTCAACGCAAAAAAGGGAATAATCATAAATAAGTAGAATTTGGAGCATTTGTGTGTGTGTGTCCTGACCTCTGGGACATTTTCCTGGAGGAGCTCAGAGTCTGGTTCAGGATCAGTAATAGGTGCGGTGGCGAGCAAAGTGCCATTATCGACAGTGGGAGAATCCAGATTCCGACAGGGGCTGCCAGGGATGATGCCTGCAGACTTAGCTGCCAGGTCGATGGCACCTGTAAGAATAAAAACAGTTAAGATAAGATATTTGTCACATCTGCTCATTACGAATAAGTATTAACTGTGGGTGACACTAGTGTGGAAAGCGTTCTTCCTTTCAGAGAGCAGAAGAATGTTCTTTTTGTCCATTTACCCCTGCACAATGGATGATTTGTTCAAAATCATATCGACTGTCGGGGATCATGTGGAAAAAGGAGCCAATCATTTTTCATATACATTCAAACTAGGACCTCGATTTGCGTAAAAACCCAGAGACTCCAGGGAGCAGTCTATCACACTAAAGAAACTAAAGCTTTCATATTAGAACACTTATGCTAAGAAGTGAACCAATACAGAAAATCGCCTGATGTACTGTGGAGAGTTATTTCTGATTGTAAAAATATCCAAAAGGTTTTATTTTGGTGTGTATGAAGATTTCCTGTTTTGTTGAGGCTGTTGAATGATGGAGCCATGTTATAAAGTATTTGTGTTTAAAATAAGGGAGAAGCTTATCTCTCAGTAGTAGTTTTAGTTACTGTGGCCACAGGATGAAAAAGAGAGAAAACTGAACAGGAAAATAAATCGATTGGAAGAAAATGATCAGTACATACTGGAGAGTTGGCTGGCTGCTGCAGAGCTGGGCGCTGCAGGGGAGACCTTGGAAATGGGAGGGCGGGGGGAAGGAGCAAGGCGAGTATGGATTGGCCGGAAAGATCCAGTTCCTGAGGGAAGAAACAGGAAGTGAGACAACAAATGGGAATTTTCCCCCTTTTTTTTCTTCTTTTTTTTTTAAACTTCCCATCCTCTGCTGACAACATGTGTATCATTGTACTCTCCTGATGCGAGGAAGCGTACCTGTGGCAGAGGAGTTGGAGAGGATGGAGAAGGAGCAGACATGCTGAGGAGTGTCCCCTGTAGTTCGAGGCAGCAGTGTCCGCTGTGTAAGACAAGATTGTTGTTAGCCCTTTGTAAGACAGCAACATGTAGGAAAGTAAAAGTCCAAACCAATAGAGAGGGTGTTCACTTTAATACAACTGCATTCCTTTAATTCTTCTCTTACCTGAACTACAAGGGGTTTGCGGAGTTGCCTGTTCCGAGGTTTTCTCTGTCTGGAAAGGAAGAGATCCGACTGCATCTGCGAGGAAAGAAAATGCAAGTGAATATTTGTGCATATATTACTGTGGACAATATACCAGTTTATTAATGCCTTGCTCTGTCTTACACTGATAGAGTCCAGCTGCTGTCTAAAGGCTAGTTCTGCTTCCTTGTTGGGGGAGAACATTCTGTTGTGGCGCGAGCTGTTGGGGGGGAGCGTGGTGGGTACCGCAAACACACCTCCCTCAGAGTCGCAGCCTGCTGTCGACCCCAGCAGAGAGCGGGGAAGGCTCCGTCCGCCTAGAGAGGGAAGGGACAAGAAGGATATGTTTCCCTGAGAATAATGTACTGAACAGCATCTTGGAGAATATGGTATGTCAAGTACTTGAAATATCCAATTTCCTATTAAACAGGAAGCATTTGCACTTCATAGTTATTTTCCATCATCAAACGAAGAACAGCATCAAACGCAAAACCATTCATCAGGAAAAACAATATGTTTTACATAGGACCTTATCAATAGTCAGAGGAAATAACACACATCCTTAACAGTCCTCAAAATGTAGATCTACAATCTATCTACAATAGGATCAATGTACAGTATATCTAGTGCCCGAGTAATTGCTTTGGAGTATAAGGAGAGAGACCCACAAATACCTGAGGCTCCAGCATTTCCCGGGTGTAACCGGGCCCCTCGGACAGACGCCTGCTGCCGGCCACAGCTGGGGCTGCGAACACCTGTTAAGAGCCCCTTTCCTGGAGGTGTGAGTGCCTGGTTCTGCTCCTCTTGATGGGTCTTGAGCGGTGAGGTGGCAGTCGAGCACAGCTCTGGAGCCTGGAGGAGAGGACACGTTATTGACATCTGTTCAAATTCTACAGTTCTAAATTAAGCTTTCACTAAAGTTTGAAGGTGGCACAGAGAACAAAGGTCACAGCCCGTTCCCAGTCCTACAATCACCTGAAAGTGCACCAACCTAACCTTTATCTCTCCATCTGATTGCATTAGTGCTCTCAGCAATGCAGCAATTTTGTGAACACAGAGGAACGTGCAATGTGGCACATGAGAACCACTTTTAGTCTCCAACCATATGTCTTTGATTAAAGTTTTTCAAAAACCAAACCATGACATTCAAACATTTTGTCAACAAAACATTTTGAAAAGCATCTAGCAACCAGCAACAACACAGAGAAGTAAAAATGAATCCCTACCAAAGGTTTAGGATTGACCTCAGTGGTAACCAGTTTGAGCAGGCAGCGCAAAACGCGGTGTGTCCTGTTGGGCTTGGCCTGAGCCAAGGCTTGTCCATTTTCTTGGTTGTTAGAAGGAGCTGCCACAGGCTGCCACTCGTATTCAAGCTGTAACTTGCCAGGTTTTCCAAACATCAAGTACAGCTCAGCCAGGGTGACGTTCTCTGCGTCACGGGCACTCCAGCCTTCCTCTCTGATCTGCTCAATAGTTCGCTCTTTGGCTGCTGGTGCAGAGCCCTGCAACACTCCTTCCTCTGAGCCAGTCATCAGAGTTTTGGCTGGAGGAGTCTGGTTGGCCTCAGGGGAAGAAGCACTGGTGTTCTGCTCCTCCTTGCAATGCTCAGATGAGCTCTCTACACCACTACACAACTTCTCTGTGGTTTTGATCACTGCTAATCCACCACTGGCCTCCACACTAGCACAGGTCTTGTCCCCCTCAGAGGGTCCCAGCCCAGTTCCCTCTTCCATGGGAACCACAGTCTGCTGAGAGGAGGCAGTGACAGAAACAGACAGAAGTCTCTTCTCCTCTGCTACTTTTGCAGAATTGTCTGGTGAAGATTCAGGGTTAAGTGGTTCAGTCCGACGAATATCGCCCAATACAGTCACTGAAGCACCAGCTCCAGAGGCAGTGGCAGCAGTAGAAGCACTTCCACGTCCAGATTTGGTGCCAGTCCGAGGCGGTGGAGCCGTGTGGATGCCTAGGATCTGAGCAGCTGGTAATTCCTTGGAATTAGGGCGGTTCTTGCCACTCTCCAGCCAGTGTACGGTGCAGGAGGCCTTGGAGTGAACCACGCGTGCCACACCAGGCATCATGGTCAGGGTGCTGCTCTCCGCAGGGAGAAGAAAAAGTTCATCAGGCTGTGATTTACTAGGAGAGGATGTGCTGGACTGGCTGCCCTCCAAAGCCTCTCTCTCCATGAGACTCTTAAGCTGAAACATCAGTGTCAAGGAATCAGCACATACAGGTTTGTCCTCCCTAACTGTGTATGGATGAACTGCTTGAATTCACACACCTAAGATTATTGTATGGTGCAACATATTGTTAAAAGGATACAATGCGCTGGTCCTGGTGCGCCCACTTCTGTTTCAGATAGTCAATGAGACTGGAAACTTTCCTGTGGAGCTCAACCACCATCCTGGGGGAGAAACCACAAAACAGTTTGTTGACAGCTGTGCTTGAGCAAACAGGCACCGTTTTCAAAACTGCCTGATGATACATTAATGCAGACATTTGATTAATTTGCTAATCATTTGCATGAGTGAGCTGTGCTTGAGAGTCCTGAAAACAATCATAAACATGGATGCTTTTTATTTTGTCTTTTCTTTTATCTCCAAGGATCCGACTCAAATGTGAGATGTTGGCTCATTCTGATGACTCTGTTTTGGAAACAGGTTTTGACTCCTCTCGGACATCTGACTGACCTGAGGCGAGGATTGTGGGCTAGACTCTGAACGCGGGCCCAGGAGTGGTTACTGCGTGGTTGAAGCTCTACTGCCACCTTCAAGGGTAGACGCACTGGCTTCTGGTCCTCTTCATCACTCACTCCTGCACGGACACAAAGACATAGTGAAGCTGACTGAGGCACAACTGGGACAAGGTGAGGTGTTTTAGAGGGAGAGAGAGATAGAGAGAGACAGCGAGCAGGTGTCCAGCCTGTGGGATTTTGTGACAGTCATAAATATTGAGAACCTAGCAGACACAAATGCCACAACTGTACAAAAGGTAAATCTCAAAAGCCACAATGACATTACATGAACAGTAAACTACAGTTGACCTTACAACTGGTGAAACATTAAGTATTGTATCTTGCAAACTTTCTTGCGCAATGGACACAAACCAGAATGAGGCTGCTTTGCCTTATAATACTTTGCAAAGCACTGATACAGCTATGAAAGAAAGACTGACTGTAAGAGAAATGGTAGATACAAGTGGTGGGATTCTGATTTTCCATCCTGGAGTGAAAGAAAATGATTTCTATAAATTTGGATGATGTTGAACCGAAGGGTCAACGGCCGCAGTCGGCCGGACCAGTCATCTCCATCATCTCCCTCCTGTTCCTCCTCCTCACATGGCTCCCACAGAGTTACCATGGAAACGCCACTAGCCCACACTGTTATTGTTATTGCCAGGAAAAAGAAAAACGCCCCCACAATCGCTGTGCTTCACCATCGTCACAGTTTGTATTTTCAGCACCGATGTTGTGTACTTTGCATGTGAAGTATGTGTGGAGTGTCTCACCATCAGGGTCACAGAGTTTCTTCAGTGCACGGCACATGGGTGCTTTAATTCGCAAGTTCCTCCCTTTGGAGCGCACGGTGGTAGCCCTGGTCAAACAAGCAGAAGAGCAGAGAAATCTTCAGGGTTTTTCAAGGACAGCTTTTTTGGATCCAATTGCAACTTTTAGTGGAGAGTGGGAGGCATGCTAGCAAATCAAATTAACATAGACATGTACAGAGTTAGCTGAACACTTAACAATACAGCAGCCATGCATTATGAAAGACCCTGTTCAGACCTGGTATTTACGTTTGATTCATTTTGAAACTGTGGCAGGGTGGTCCTTCATATTTGGCCCACGGTGTAATTGTGTTGACACAGTGAAAAGAATGTGAGTGATCAGATCTACTTGAAGACTGTATATTGTATATATTATATATACAATATTTCAAAATTCCCTCCAAGTGATATTAGTGGCCTATGTGGGATGTGTTCCTGCTGCTTATCTTGTATTTGGCATTCTTCATCATGAGGTCAACTGATTTAATTTCTCATACTGATAGTGAAAAGCTTATCAGGGTTGTTGTTCATGTCATGTAGTTCTTAAAATCAAAAACTGCATAGTGAGTGGGCTGAGCATTTTATCAATTTAACCACAGACTTACCCTTGCTGGATGAGTTCATTCAGCTTTGCCACGTTCTTATCGTCCATTACTGTCAAAGACACAACACAAAGCCAGAGAGTCATTAACGTCGTCTTCACACAGGAGCAGCTCGTTGTCCCCCATGAATAGGAACATGCAGCATTTAATCATGTCCCCTGTGTCACGATGCAACAGCATGAAAACAACTTCAGAAGAGACATGTATTTGTACGTGCGCACAGCGTTCACTTACATCCCCCAACTTTTTTGCGGAGCTCAGCATAGCAGATGAGACCATAAAGTTCTTGGGAGGATTTCTTCAGAACTCGGGAGTACACTGAGAAGGAAAGGAGGGACAGGTCACAACACTGCTGTAAACAGAAATACAGGAGGAATGTGTATGCTGTAAGCTTTTTGTAGGAGAAAGAGGGTAAAGGTGGTGAGATTCTTTCACAGTTTTTGGACTGTCAGCCTGTCTAACAAGGTGAAACATAAACATTAACATTTCATTTTTTCTCCCTGGCAGTGACTGCTGCAAGAGGCACTTTTTAAACAAAACCAGCCCCGATTCAACATGAACAATTTAAGATATCTGAAATGATAGACTGAATTGAACAATTAGGCCGTGGTGCTCCAACCCTCAAAAAAACAAATTCTGTTCTACCCTCTGAGTGTCAGTGAGATCCCGTTAGGCCCCAGCTGTTTTGGGGTGACAGACATTATAGGCAACTCACCGTTGGCAAAGTCAATGTGTTTGGAGATCTTGTGCCAGGTGCGGTAGTAAAAGTGGCGGACTTGCTCCTTGTTCTTCACCATGTTAGCTGGCTTCCCTCTCTTCTTGTACTTCATTGCAATGTTGTTCTGGATGGCCTCAAAATCCTTCCCATGCTACAGAGAAGTAGAGTAGAAGGAGAGTAGAAGATGTCAAAAGATACAAATGAAGATAAGATGAATGCCAGGATGTGTCATATCAAGTAGTATCATTTAGTGTAAATTCTAATTCATTCTCAACATTAGATACAGAGCCTTCCGTCTGTACTCTGCGTTCATCTTGTCCACGTCTTCGCAAAGCTTACAGATATGAAGGAAACAGACAAAATGTACCAGTATTACTGGAAATCACAGAGGGGCAGTGGAGCCACGACTTCAAGCGAGACGACCAGTGGACGTGAGGAAGAAATTCCAACAACTTTTTGCGGAGACACTTGGTGAGTTGGCAAGAAACTACAAGCTGATGATGTTACTTCGTCTGGGCACAGGGACTAAAAGACGCTTTTGCCTCTTTCTCAATTGGTACATTATCGCAACCTCCTCCACCAAAGACATGTTTGTTGTTTTAAGAAACTCCACTCTTTGCTGCCCTCTAGTGGATGTATTGCTTAACAATAATGCCAACAAAGGACGCTTACAAATATTTGGGCAGTGATGTTTACATCATTTAAAATGTTCAAATCTCTTTTTGGACGCAAAGGCAGCACAAATGAGCCTAAAATCTATGTGGTAGACTATTTGTTTCTACACTTTACCTCATAAAGTCCTTCAAAGAAGCTGTTTTTGTCTTCTGCACTCCAAGACTCCCACTGCCGACGGGCCCTTTTCTGGTTGCCGGCTTGTTCCTCTTTCTCAGCAGACCCTTGGCCTTTGGAGGCCTTGGACACTCCTCCTGCGGAGCTGGCCATCGGTCCCGACTGCCCCACTGCACCCTGGGAGGACGAGCCATTCTCTGCGCCTGCGTTATACACAGTCAAGGAGCCCAGAAACCCATCAGTTATTTAACATTTAAAAGGAAGAAAAAAAACACACACACTTGAATGTCAGAGTTAAAAATGTAAACATTGAGCCAAATGTTTTTGGTTGACCACCCTGGCTGTTTTTTTACAGCACGGAAAATATAATACAATTGTAGTTCTGAGCGGCTTGGACAATGTAGGACACATGCACACAAAGCCACCCACTGGCTTTACAGTGCCCAACCTGCAGAGCCCACCCCCCGCTGTGGTTCAGTTTTGGCAAGGAGGCAGGAAAAGAAATCAGTCCATACGGCCAGATCTACAGTACACAGGTCCAAAACCAACTCGTGGTGGGCTGCAATGGCCAAGTTTACCCCAGCACACAACACAATGCCAGAAGGCACCAACACAAACACTAAGGCTGTTGTTGGTGCAACACTGCGCTATGTGGAAGCAACTATATTTCCAGCCAGAATGAGTACTCCCTTATAAATGCAAACATGTGTGTGGCTCACAGAGACTAACCTAGATGTGTCTTCCTCAAAATAGATGCACATATTTAAATAAGTAGGTCTCTAGGAATCTAATTTCACTGAGTGAAACAATCTTAGTTTTGTTCACTTTCCCTACAATGACTTCTGTCGGATTTTAGTCTGACTCATGTATAAAGCAATTTTTAAATTCAAACTGATATTGTAGAGCAGGATAATTATATGAGCCAGAAAAGTCGGGAATCATTTCAAAATAATTTTGTATGAAAATGTAAAAAATATCAAGCAAGTTTCAGCGACAGGCTCGCCAAAGAACAGAAGCCACCTTAGTTACTGTGAGTTTCAAACATACAGGATATTAACGCTCCTGCCCCGCCCCACTGCCCCGTCTGTCTTTTACTCTTCTAGAGGTATGGAGGACAGGAAGATTCCTCATTTACATGGAAGCACGATCCTGAACTGCTAAGCCTGAGAGCTTTAAGGTATCTGGAGCTTTAATTCATTGCACAGACACTGTGTATTATTATGACAATTCACCAATGACGGCTTCTAAAGGCATCTGCAGAAATCACAGTGTCACCACAGAATCATTTAGATCAGTTGCAAAAAAAAAAATACTATTTGTTTCTAAAAATAAAATTATGATGTGACAAAGAATGGGCACTGTTGAAATTTCCTCTAAGCAAAAACAAATATATGTAAGGAACTCCATATGTAAGGATGTGTAAGGTAATAATAATTTTTTTTCTGTCCAGTGCCTATTTCCATGCAGGAAAAAGTGAAGTCTTGCTGCCCCCCCTCTCTGTTGATAATGACAGTCATAAAAGTCCCAGTTAGTAAAGCTAGAAAGTGTAAAGTTTCCCAGAAACTGAATAAAAAGATTGAGGTGACATCCTAATTGTAATTCAACATCTGGTTTGTAACTCTTCCTTCACAAACACATGTTAGGATGCTGTTTGAGCAGAGCAGACAACAAACTCCAGAGGCTGTGGCCCAGAGGGGCAGCAGCACAAACAGCATCGCTTCGGCCACCACACTGACACACACGTAAACACAGTGACAGTCCAAACTGAGAGTTGACCCTCTCGGTAATCCCATCACACACTCACACGTCCCTGGGTCATCTACAGTACCTTTCGACTTCGCCACGCCGTGTCCATTGATGGCTGAGCCGATGGAATCCTTCCGGATGCGCTTGCTCGGAGGTCGAACGCTCGACCGGAGAAAATGATGCTGGTCGTGACACGGAGCTGCGGACTCCGCGGAGGTCTGGGACTGCGGGGTCGAGCCTGGCCCGGTCCGGTTCGGCGGAGAGGCGGGGAGCACCGGGGCTGAACCGGGGCTGAGCGCCGTGGCTGATGGATTAAGAATTTCCACTCCGTCGTCTCCCTTTGTACTGCGCTCCTCGCTCGCCTGCTCTCCGCTCTCCTCCTCGTCGCAGCCGTCGGGCTTTCTGGACGGATTCCTCCTCCCATCGACACCGATCCCCTCCCTGGAGCCCGGTGTCATGCTGCCAAAACACATTCGGGCACATTCGGTCACATTGGGAGCAAAGCGGTGTGAAAAATTAACTTCTAAAGACGACGTTCACTGTCTCTCAACATGGCCGCCGCTGTTTGTTTCAAATCCCCTCTCCAGTCCCGACAAAACAACACCAAATATATGCAATTACCGTCCCCAGATAAATTATATTCACCAGCCAGAATAGTTCGGTAAGTGACGGCGGTGCTTTACCGAGTGTCTCTCGGCTCTAATGTGAAATATTTCGGGTTGAATTTCAACTAAATTCAAATGCGAGCGCTTTTCAGTTTAGCGCCCTGCAGAAACGACAACGAGAACCCCTCGGTGCATTCGACCTCTGAATAAAGTGTGAATTTCAAATATTATTTTACCCATTTTCGTATTCTTCGGTGCCGGGCGACGTCTTCTTTCTCTTCACCATGGATCCGATCGGTTAGGTTGGCAAATATTGAGCGAATGGAGCATAATAGAAGCGACACCGATCCCTCCGCTTTCTGCCCTCTCCTTGCTCCTGCTTCGACTGAGCTGAACTCTCTGCGCAGTTCAACTGTTTTCTATCTGCATCAACATTTACTCAATGCTTCTTTTACAAACAAGAAATAAAGCTAGAAAACCAAGTGGCACACACGAGACAGTCACTGCCTGCGAGCGAGATGCATTTGCCATTAAACGCGACAGTGGTGCCCATTTGAATTGATAAGTACAGACAGTTTTATTAACCCAAGTGTGCAAGTGGACTTTGCTTGTCGCTACGTCACCGCCGCCTGCAAAATTGATGTCTGCAAAACTATTAATTTAATATACACCCTTCGTTAATCAAGCTTCCAAACAACAGTCCCCTCTGCTAACATTATTAATAGCCCCATAAAGATAATTATACACCAGGAGCAAAGGCTGTGTTTGTCCGGTGCACATAACAAGACACAGTATATGACATTTACATCAGTATTGTGTAAACATCACAGGATTTGGAGCTGTGTGTTTGATCCATTGTTACCCACTGATTTCTTTATCTCTGAGTAATCAGGTGGAGGTCTCTGAAGTTGTGTGACAGCTGCACAAAGCTACACAAAGACATATTTATTGCACAAGGGTAGCTTGAACCCTAATTTTCGAGGAGCATCCCTCTTTCTCCATTCATACTCTTACTATTTCTGTCATCTCAACTTTAATTCTCAGACTCATTTCTGAAAAAAGATAAGTGATCTAACAACCGTGAGACCTCGAAACCACTAGTGAAATTAGCTGTAATGTTTACATGCCCTCACTCAGGGTCTTACCCCTTCAAACTACTACGATAGTATCAGCCGGGTAAAACATACATTTAGCGAATATTCAAACGTGAAAATGTAGTTTCATTGTAATTTAAGGTTGATCTAAAATCTTACAGCAACACACTGAGATCTGTTCCACTGGGTCTCATTGAATATCCTTACTACAATGTTATAGTTCCAGTAGCTTGATGGTTTTCTAATCACAGGGCTGGTCTCTGACCGAAGAATTCAAATAAAGGAAGTGTACTGTGATAAGTTATTCATACTAACAGCTATCGATCATTTTTTCACTGTACGACATTTATATACAAAGATATTAAATGAATGACGAGTCTTCTCCATCCATCAATACGTACACACCGAGGGAACTAGCATGGCTGCTGTTGTCGGCTAGCTAACGTTAGCAATAGAGCTGTGAAACAAGCCTGCAACGTTACAAAAACTGCTTGAAGCGCGGCGGTTGTCTACACGCGGAGCCTCGAACAGCTCCTCCGATGTGTGACATTGTCAAAAGGTTGTAAATTACCTGAATCAGACGCCCGTTGGTAGTTTTCCCAGTCGATACGCGGGCTAGCATCGCTAGCTCCCGGCGGCCCTGCAGCTCGTCGCTGATGACAGTTCCTGCGGATCGAATGTCCATGCGCTTCGCCACGCCCACCACAACTCGAAAACAAAGCCCTTGATTGGCCAGGGATACACGAGGCCGCCCGTTGGAATTTGATTGACAGAAGGCTCCGCCAATTGCCGGAGGATCCGGCCCAGCAATAGGACCAATTGCGATTTTCTTCCTGTCACGCCGTGTGGGTTTACGGATATTACATTTAATTTTTTAATTTAATGGATTCTTCCGTTTGTAAAAAATAAAAAAAGCTTTTGCTCAGTTCTCCAGATAATTAACAAAAGGTGACATCACTGCTACGGAGTTTTTTTTTGTTTTTTTTTTAGCACCACAGAAACAAGTCCCACCCATAAAGAGATTGACATTTCAGAGAGCGAATCAACAGGCGGAACTCAAGGAGTGCGCTTGGTTTGTCAGCACGGCGTACACCGAAAATCACCCGGATGAGCGGAAACAGAGTTACTTTTCACACTTGTGTTGAAAAGTGCTGAGTGTAACCAAGAAAAACACACGCAATATGCTACACACTGGGTTTAATCTAAATCAATTTAATACAAATATAGTTTAATCTAAATTTGTTTAACTCAAGGCTTCATTTTTGTTTCCTCTGTTGGACTATTCCACAATGATATTTATTCGACACATGTTCAAACAATAATGATAATTAAAAATATGTCTTCTCTATAATTTGTACAATTATGACAGTTTAACCCCATAAGTGTTAGATTCCATGGCTGCGTTCAGAAAGTCCAAATAATCTCCTTTCCTAACCACTATTCCTTAACCCCGACCTTTCCTTCCACAAAGGATGCTTCCTATGCGAAAGGAGATAAGTTAGGAAGCATCGAAGCTCCTTCCCTTGTCCTTTAGAGAACAGGAACAGCTCCTGCTGTGGCGGCTGCTGAACTACTTCCGGGTCCTTACACTAACATACGAAGGCTCCTTAGCAAAACAAACTATTCGAACCAAAGATTGTGTCTAAAATGTTCGATCGCAGCCCATGAGTTACGCAGCGCACTTTATTTCACGGAGGGGTGCCGGTTGACTTGAAACGAGCGCACCCCGCCGCCCAGTTATATGCCTGTGTGTGGGAGGGCGGGGACATTCCTCACCACGGAGAGCGGCGGCAGGAACTCGCTGGTCGTCCAGTTGGCAAAGTGACGAAGTTGTGCTCAGAAACTCAAGAGGCTCCAAAAAAAAACCAAACAACAACAACAGAAACAAACAACCATGACCTCGACGAACATGTTCCAAGGGCTGGAGAGCGGCTCCAAACCGAGCTCGAGGTGAGGAACACCAGCGATGCCTGGTTGTTGTGGTGGTTCAGTTGAAGATGTGGCGATTTCACCGCCGCTCCGTGGAGCTAGTGTCTGAATGTAGGTTAACGTTATCCGGCAGGTCTCTGCGGGTTTATTCAAACCAGCAGTGCGTCTAAAGATGGTTCCCTGTGATCAACTTTAATCCCCGAGGACGGTGTTAGCTCGAGCAAGGGTTGTCTCTGTCGCTGTTAGCTAACTTGAGTCACATAGCTTTTTAAGCTAACCCAGCAGGCGTTGTCTGCTGCCTGCGGAAGTGCAGGAGCCTCTTCGGACTCTGCTCTCCTTTGTATTCGCCACATTGTTCCAGTTGTGGTCAAGTTCCCTCGGTGCTGACTTCGAAGGCGTCTGGTCCGGGGTCGGCTCCCGTGAAACACGTATGTCGCGGCTGCTCTCCACGTCAGGAAGTTTAGCTTTTAAAGAGTTTAAAGACACATGGCGCCGCTCCCGGGTCTGTAATCAAATGACACGGTGTTGTGCTGCCTCGGCTGGAGCCGCTGTATGTAATGTCAGTCAGTTTACAGCCAGGTTGTTTCTGCTCGTCCCTCTTTGTGTGTAAGAGTGAATCATAACATGAAATCAGCTGTAGTGGTTAACAGAACCTCTGATGACAGGTACCTTTAACATAGAATGGATGTGGAGTCTGTTTTAATTCATATTATTTTCAAGGAAACTCTGGATTTTGTGAAAAGGCAGTTTTTTGTCAAGTCACTGTGCAAGGTAGGCCTGGATGATGATGTGGCTAAAAATCATACCAAGATAAAAATGGTCAAATTGGTTCATGTTGGTGATCATCAGAATCAGCTTTATTTGCCATGTATTTGTACACATACTAGTACTTTGACTCTGCCCTCAGGGTACTTACACAGTTAACCTATACATATAGACATACAATTAACAGCAGGCTACAAGAAACCAGCATAATACCAACACTACTGTGTGAAAATAGAGTTAATGATCATCAGGATAAATGTCACATTATTTATTTTAAGTAAAAATACTTCTCTTTGCAACTGAGTGAAGGTTGTAGCACATATTCCAACTGGAGTGAAAATGTGTTATCCTCTCATCCATATATAATATAAATGTGTTGTGAGAGCTCTAACTATACTACAAGACTTTGTAAGAACGTATTGAGGTAATTATCGATATTGTTTTATTTCCCAGTACATTGTAATTGATCTGTGACAGGATCCTATAAAAGTTGTCCTTTATTACTCTGTCTCCCACAGGGTTTTGCAGCCTCCTGGAGGTGGCTCTAGTAACCTGTTTGGTGGCTATGACGATGATGCTGCAGCATCAAGAAGACCTAATAAAATGGCCTCTAAAGTGTTTGCTGCACCAGAGGAACCCCAGAATGTACCCAGGCGCTCCAATCCTCCAGGTCAGACCAGCCTGTCAGGGCTAATGGATATGCTGAGGCAGGGCAGTCTAACCATCTGTCAAAGTCCAGGGTGTGAAAACAGTTAATGTAATGTGATAATTCCGGTATAAACACTTTCACTGTCCTGTGTCTTAATGTGATAGACCTCCAAATGAAGTATCCTTCAAGTATGTTCCTTCAAGTGTGTTTTCAGTCCAGTCTTCTGACTAAAAATGACCTAACTCAACACATATCTTTTTATTCCTTTGTGTAGGTGGGAAGAGTAGCGGAATATTTGGGGAAGCTGAACCTCCTGCTCAACCACAGAGACCCATACCACCGGGTGGATCAACTAGCATCATATTTGGAGCTGCAGAAAGTGCACCTGTGAAAAGCCCAAGCAGAAGCCATCCAAACAAGCCAGTGGTAGGCCAAGCATCTAGATTTTATTTTCCACTTTTCGTTTTAGTATAGTTATTTATTTTTTATTTTATTACTCAGACTCCTGATGATATGCACATCACCAAGTGAGTTTTTAAAAGAATAGTTAGCCCCAAATATAAAACATAATAATTTTCTACTCCTCAGGGTCCAGAGGCCTGCTAGTTATCCAATTTATCTGATATTTGATCCAATAGGACTTGACAAACACAGCAACTGTGTCAGGCAGTATTTGACACAGTTGTGTGCATCAAGCAATCCTTTTCATGGGTCAATAGTGTTTGTGCAACTAGAGCATTGCAACAGCTTCAGAAAGGACAAAAATAGATTCCCTCAGAGGTACTGAATTTCAACACCAGCTAATTGGCTTTTTTGTGAACGTGATGTATTTTATACAGCTGTTTGCATAAGACAGAAAAAGCACAGCATCATTGGGTCTCTTGAAAGGCGCTATATATAAATTCAAGTTATTATTAAGTCAAAATACTGATGTTTTGTTGGAGTTGAAAAGAGTGGAATATCAACAGTATTTATGATAATCTCCCTGTCATCAAGTTCAAAATAATGATGGGGTCTTACCCTAGACTGTTTCAAAGTACTTGCTAGTTATCGTTTACTGTGTTGAAGTAGTAAATAAGCTTTTCCTATTATATAAATATTATAGTTTATGCTGGGAAATTAGACTTTTCCTATGTTGAGACAAACAAAATGTATCTGCATAATTTTTGGAGCTGCCAACTTAGTCAATTAACTGAATATTTTCTACATGTTCAGCTATAACACGGGATGTGTTATAAATAACTAAAAGATACACTCTGCATTTTTTTTTCTCTTTTATTTAACCAGGTACACTCTTGTTGGAATTAAAGTCTCTTTTTAAAGTGAGACCTGTCTGAGCCCAGTAGCCCGACTCTGTGAATGAGAGACAAATACTTTCACTGTCATGCATCAGAGAAAAACCTTGGTCAGGGAAATTACACCTTTTGCAGACTTTGAGCCGCTGCTTTAACTTAAAGCAGCAATAGTGAGAAAGCCTTGTGTTAATTTTTTTCCCACTGATAACAGAGTAAGACAACCTGTATAAAACGTCTTTGTTGTCTTGTCTTTACAGGACAATCTAAGTGTGGGACCTGAACCTGAATCACCAGGTGAGTTTATTTAAAAGGAAAATGTTGAACTATTCTAAATTTGTATTTCTGCATGTAAGAGCTGAGCTATAGTTGTGGAGGCACAACATCAGTCTGCTGCTGTCAATCACAGTGAATGAAGAAAGTAGTCTCTTCTATCGAATTTACTTGCCTTTTATGTTTGTAATTCGTTGAGGGGAATCATGTGGAGAATATGATACATCCATGTTGCAATAGTCAGCAACAGGTGAACTATTATTCTAAACCTGGTCTGTAGTGTATATAGTGGATTCTCATTCCTTCCATTCAAAAAGAAAAGGGGTTCATTAAGCATAGGGACAGGGATGGAGCCCACACAAGTGTATCCATCAACTCTACACTTTCTTTATTTGCTAAAAGTTGAAATATCTGCTGTTATTTCTGTAAAAATGTTTTATTCTCTCCTCAAGCACCCGAGCCCAAGGTCAGCCAGCCTGAGGTGAAGGAAGCAGCTGTCCGCCCGGCTCCCGTGCCAGCCAAGGTAGAGCCTGCTGCCGTGCCTGAGCCCAAACCTGCTTCTTCCTCTTCCTCACCTCCTGATGATGAGACTTCTCTGAAGAAACATGAGCCTCACCTCGGACCCAAGCCTCGCTCTCACAACAGGGTCCTCAACCCACCCGGAGGAAAATCTAGTGTGGTATTCTACTGATCAGCGTAACACACCACTCCTCCCTGTTTTGTGTCTATACACTCCTTGTCTGATACCCCGCTAATCTTCTCTCATTCCTTCATGCTTCTCCTCACCGTTATTTCACCTGTACATTTAAACACACACCAGGAATTTTGTTCTTACGCCGGATTCCATGGTCAAATATGTTGTCCCTAACTTCTTGCACTTTCTCTCCCATTTCTTGCTCCTTGCTCTTCGTTCAAGTTGTATTGTTCTTCACTGAAACCTGCTATCATACAATCAACTACCAGTGAGCTGTTAGTCACTTTGACAGTATCAATATTGCGGTTACATTTTTCTGTGTTTGAGCATGTGCAACTGAAGTTTGGTTTATTTGTCCTTCTTTAAATCGTGTTTTTTGTATCTCAAGAAAGGTTGAGACAACCGAAGAAGCTTTAATTATTGTGGATTCTAATGTTCTGGTGAAACTAAGACCCTTGCGTAGTTTCATAGCAGGCTTTTCCTCAAATAGTTTTTCCCAGACAGAACGGGGTGAATAGATCTTTCACCATTTGTAATATGTGAAATGTTTCAGGGAGTGCCACCTTTTTATTTGCTGCCAGTTCCAACACAAAACCATTTGTTTGGCAGTTATTCCAAATAATGCATGTTAGAATTTGAACACAATCACTTAATGAGCAGACGCCTTAAATCATCTAAGTGTTCCTTCTTGCCTTGTTCTGAATTTCAATATGTGTCTGGAGTAACACAAACAGTGTTCAGGGAGAGATGCCAAAAAATGACCCCAAAACAAAGACAAATGCAACTGATACTCCCCAAATTCCTTAAAGAAATTCCATTTTGATTTTAATGCGAATGTATTGTGTGCAGGTACTTTCTGCTTTGTCCTCATTGCTTGCGTCATCTGAGAACATGCCTTTTTTTTGCTTGGGGTAGGCCTCTGTTTATGTTTTAAATTAAAACGGCTGAAGACTGAACTCTGGACAAGCTCGTGGCCTACCTGAGTCTAGGTGGGCTCTTTGATAATCACCTTTTCAATCACTTCACAATGCACATTCATGCTATTCGGGTGCCAGCCTGTCCCCAGTGTGTCCATGTGCCTGGCAGGCAATGAGCGCAGCGGAAGAAAGATATCCTGTGTATTGCAATAAAATGTTGTTTTGCATTTAGACTGTGTTTATGCTGTTTATTTTCCTAAAGTATTGAAGTACTACAGGATATTTGAGATGCAATAATAACTGAAATATATAATAACTTGAAATGGTTGTTTTGGATAAAATACTAAAATCCGAATCCTCTAGATACCTTGTTAAATGTTTGTGTGGATCAGTGTGGATGTGACATACCCCATATCTTGTGATCTCCAGAGTTATAGATATTTCTTGTATCACTGACACTGATGCTTTTGTTCTTATTTGCCCTGCGGTAGCACTCTGTGTGAGCACTCTGTTGCTCTAAAAATGGCCACTTCATGCTTTGGAGGAAATTGTAGTTTAATCTATGCAACTACACAGTGGAATCTGGAGCACTATTTCATTTCCTCCTTTAAGAAAAAAATATTTTTGTGTACATGCTGACACGGATAAGTGGTATTTTTATGATACTGTGCATAAAAAAGATGGTACTTGCCAGAGAGGAGGTAGGACTGGTTGTGTGCAGTCTGTAAGCTAACATGAAAATAACTACATTTATTACATCTACATGATGTCTGTCATAAAATTAAAATTAGATCTTAGAAGAATGAGTGACCGAGGACTCTTCCACATGCAGCTTGTTTGGGTGAGATTACTTTCTATATAATTTACTATACACTATTACATGAATTATGGCTAACTGCTAAACTCCTCAAAAATGACTAGTGTGAACTTGTGTGTGATGTAACAGCAAATGAATAACTTACTTGAAAAGAAACATGCATTTCTACAGAGACACTGTTGTTTTCAGTTAATCTGACTGATTAGGCACAACTCTTTATAGGTTGCAGGTTGGTTACATTTTGCTGTGAGATTACAGCATTTATCTAACTCATTATTCTAAAGGCTCAAGATACAACTCCTACAACAGGCTGGGGAATCTCAAAGGAGCTGAGCAAGTTCAATATGAAACTTCTTCTTTAAATCTGGTGTGTTCCTGCAGAGTGGCAACACGAGGAGCACAGTTTGAAGTGTGATCACTCAGCTCTCCTCACAGGTACGTACAGGATGTTAATCTCTGGACTGAGTGAGACCAGCCACTTGGACTTCTGCCAGTTCAGCACAAGTCTGAGAAGATAAAACACAAGGTTGATGTTTGCATAGTGTGTCTTAGTTCTACTTAAAATGACCTCTAGCCTACAATCTGCTAAGTATGAGGTTTACTGCAGCGAGAGGCTTTGGAGGAGGCCCTGGTTTCTTCAGATTTGTGGCTGAAAATTAATTGTACAGATGTACACCCTCTATGCCGTTTTTGTTACTCATGAAGTTCAGGTGAAATATGTTTGTCTCCAACTCAAATTCCTTTTTAATTTCATTGTGTAGAAGTGATTTCCATACGTCGTATCTGTGCAGTCCAGTGGCAGTAACTACCCTCCTTGTAGGGCATTAATCATGTCAGGCAAAAACAATGAATCTGTTGATGAAGTTGTGAAATGTAACACAAAAACATCTTCAGAAGCGAGTCCTCTTTTAGCCAATTCTCTCCACCTTTTTTTTTGCAGGAAAAAAAGTGCACATGCTGCAAGAATCTGAACAAATCCCTTGTCGAAAGCTGAATTCCTCACCTAGATGAGATTATTTCATGCTCCTGTGATCCAAAGTTAAGACATTTTCCTGATTCCTATCTTAAATTGAATGCAGTCAGCAAAAATTTTGAAATCTGCATCTTTTCATACACTTTTCAATACGAACCTGCTACTACACCATTTATTTTAATTGAGTTGCAATTCATGTCCAGTGCTAAACACATATTTTATATAGGCTGAAAGTCAAACTGTGACTCTTTAGATCTCAGACCAGCTGATCTCTATACAAAGATTTTTAACAGTTGTTTTAATTCTGCCAGATGGGAAGTAAACTGAAATATATCAGTATTCTCTCTCTAAAAACCATCTTTACTTCCAATTTTAAAACAATTGATCGATTCGATTTCATGAGATTTAGTCAATCAGACATTGTTTATCGCCACAGTTCAGCTTTTTATTTCGTTTTCGTAGAGTGCATTGTCATTATTGAAGTGCTGCTGCAGACTTGGGTCAAAGGGCTGTTAAAGGCAAAACGACCATTTCCGGTTTAAGCTTTCAAAATAAGCTACAGAAAACAAGTCTCTAGTTACCACTGATACTGAGAACATGCACTCGTGATTGCATATGTTTATATCACAATTTAAAAAGATTAATGTGTATATATGAATGTTGATGAGTTCAAACTGTATGGTTTTTCTCTCCATGTTTTACACAGTATATTCAGTGAGCTGACAAGATATCAAGATAATGAGGTTGAGCTTTGTAATGTTTCAATTTCATTTGAGTCCAGTGATAATAACATGGACTGGCATATAAATATAAGTGCCTATGAGATCAAACAATGTTGCAGTAAGCTCACAAAAAATGATTATTGTCTAAGGACAGATAGCTTAGACAAATAAAATAATAATTTAATATTCGCAAATGGCCCATTCTTGTTGTAAATGAATAAAATGTGCACTTGAGTAAAGCTGGGTCACACCGAAGAAACAAATACTTAAAGAAAACTCAAGATTGAAGCTGTAGAGGCTAAAATAATCCGATTTTTTGTTGCTATGAGTTAGGCATGAGAAACTGCATATACCATATCTCATGTAGTTCAACCAATAACATTGTTGTGTTACGACCTCCCAGCATATGTTCCAGTCCTTCAAACATCTCGTCCTCAGGTTGTGTTATTAATTTGTAGTTCCCTATCAGGGTTGTCTTATTTTTCTCAGTCTTTTAAAAGTTACCGCACCTTTAAGTTTAAAAGTAAAGTAAGCAAATGACTGTATTCATCAGTGATGATATCAAGGGACTGTGTCACTGCACAGCTGTAACATTAGATAGCATCTCATTTCTTTTCTTTTTTTTTGTTGCTTTACTTTGAAATGCAAATGCCGGTGCGCGCTCCTGCTGTCGCGTTTCTGACTTGACGCAGTGAGCGCGCTCGTTGAATGCAGACGCTGTGACGTCAGCGGACTCGGTCAGCTGGCCCCTCCATCAGCAGGGTGAGCCTCTCCCATCGGGAGACATCACCACCAACGCCCGGCCCAGCAGCATCGGCAGCGAGGGGAGCGAAACATGGGAGAGACGGTGGTGTAGCGGCCGATCGGGCGTCAGGCGGAGATCCGGTAGCGGAACGTTATTTATTGACCTAATTTATTCTCGTATTTATTCCCCCTGCCTGTAATGGCTGGGGTCCATGGCTGCGGCTTCTGAGAGGCAGGTGCAACATCATCGACGAATCGGCTCCTCGGCATGGACTCATCCTCCAGGGCCGATCCACAGGCTGGACCTCACACCCGCTGCTCCCCGGATCGGATGCTGTGCGCCGGGGCAGAGGAATAGCCGAGCCGCGTCTGGAGGCGATACAACGGCATGAGGAGGAGGAGGAGGGGGCCCTCTTCACACCAAAATATCACTACCGAGATTTTCAGGAGCGAGCTCAAGGTTACACGACAGCCGGTCTTCACCCAGGAACTCTGCTGCAAAATGGCATCAAGCGTTTTCGCGATTTGAGGTAAAAGCAGTGATTGAGCGGATCCACACCCGGGGACGGTGTCGCCGTCGAGGCCTGAAACTGTGTCCGAGCGCAGCCTCCTCATCTGGGAAACAGCTGCCAACATGATGGAGCTGCAGATCGACGAGGTGGTGTACCAGGACGACTACGGCTCCGGCTCCGTGATGTCGGAGCGGGTGTCGGGCCTGGCCAACAGCATCTACCGGGAGTTCGAGCGGCTGATCCGCAGCTACGACGAGGAGGTGGTGAAGGAGCTGATGCCGCTGGTGGTGAACGTGCTGGAGAACCTGGACGGGGTGCTGACCGAGAACCAGGAGCACGAGGTGGAGCTGGAGCTGCTGAAGGAGGACAACGAGCAGCTCATCACCCAGTACGAGCGGGAGAAGGCGCTGAGGAAGCAGGCTGAGGAGGTGAGTGACCCCCTCCCCCGGCTCTCTGGGCCTCCACACCAGCTCCATCACATCCTCCTCCTGGTCACGGTTCCCTGTCTGAGCTGAGAGGTTTCATCAGACATGTGACTCATGTTCAGGACTGTGACATGAGATTATTTTTAGTCTCAATGCTCTGCTGACTCCTGGTTGTCAAAAGAACGACTGTAATCCTATTATCTCATTTAAACACATATGATTCAGTAATGTTCAGCAGAAGCACTTAACAAGAACTCCACTGGTCACAGATGTTCTTTAAACGTGTCCTATTGTTTGTCTTCTTTTATTCCATTTCTAACTCCTAAAGCAAACATATTGTTTTACATTATTGATATTACTTCAAGTGAACTACACCAGCTTTCTTAAGCAAAATAAAGCTCGGTGAAAAATTGAAAGCCAGTAACCTCAGGGGTCTGAGAAGAAGCAGTGGAGCAACCGCAAGGTCTGAGAAAAAGTAGAGAGAAAAGAAAGTAAGATAACATCAGATAATTAGTCTCGTTAAGGCAGCAAGAGTCAAAATAGGCCTCAGTAAGTAATAAGTAACATGCAAAACTTAAGTGTAAGGAATATAAAATAAATATCGAAAAATGTGTTAAATGTAATCACACTAACATAAACAGCGAAAAGGCAGGAAAAATATGTGCCGTGTGAAAATATGCACAGTGAATGGATTTCCCATGAAACATTGATATTGCAGAGAAAGATAAATATAGCACAGTGAATATTGCAAGAGAGCTATAAAGTTCTGCAAAGAGCAGACTCTTATTAATATTTCTCACAATTCTGTTCAGCCTCCGGCTTCTTCATTCAAATCTAATATGCCACATACTGTACCTGTTGAGCAGAGATACGGAGGTAACATCTGCTGTCACGGTCGCAGACACACTATCTGTGCATAATAATAATAATAAATATAATAATAGTAACAAAAAGAATAATAGCTTTGTATAGCACCTTCATGAAGAGGACAAATAAAAACTGGAATAAAAGAAATCAGAGGCAACAAGTAAACAATACAATAAAATCAACATTTAAAGGGAAAGACAACAAATAAAATAGCGCAATGTTAATTTAAAATGAATGGCAAAAGAACAGGGAAAAAGAAATGTAAGCAATCGCCAAAACAATCACACGTTATATTTATGTATGAGAGCAGAACACATTTTAGTTGCAGTCTGAATGAATGCTGCTCATATGACTGTTAGTTCTGGTGTCACAGGTACTGTTCATAATAACAATAATAATAATAATAATACATCCACCACCACTAATGTTACTGTGACAACTGCCAACACCAGTGCAACTTCTGACAACACTGACATACACACATGTCTTCCTCCTGAGCTGGTACTCATGATGCAAATGCATGAACCCACTGTATGCAAACACAGCAATCACACGATAGCAGTGCATTTAGTTCCCGTCGACAAAAGCTCAACCAGCCAAGATTTGAATTTGAAAGAGATGAACGGTGTAAGCGTGAGGCTCATTGAGCACTTACACTGGAAAACACAGCAGGAACAGGGAGACAAGTAACACAAGTGGACATTAATATGGAGCTATTACATTACCGTCTAACCCCCCCCCCCTCCGGCGACTGAGCAGCCGTGGGATCCAGCGGTCATCATAAAGCAACTTTAATCCTCCTCCCATCCAAAGAGGCCTCAGCATATCACTGGCAGCTCTGTTGGTATCAGCTTAGCTCAGCTTTTAGCCTGTGTCATCATCTGTTCCTCCCTCTGTGTTTTCTCCTCTGCCAGTTATCCCATTTGTTTTCATTTTGTTTTCATAATCTGTTGATTGCCATCGTCATGGTTTTAAATGACAGATGCAAACAGGCCTGGAAACATGTTGTTTAATTTGATTTGCTTAATGGCGGTGCTGACAGTAAAACTGACAGTTATCGTAAGATTCCTGCTACTTAGGAGATCGTATGACAATAATAACATAACAATAATAACCGTTGTTTATAAAGCACTTTTCTTAACAATCATACAAATACAATATATCTGTAAACATGCTCTCTAGAGTCTCACCTGGAGAAAAAAGTATTGGACTCACCATGCAACCTTGCAATATCAGTTCTGTTTACCTAGATTTTCCATATCATGGGAACGTTTTGGTGCGTTTACTGTTTACTGAAGCAGAGGAGCAATCAGTATCACCTTCAGCTTTATATACATAGTATTTCTTTTTTTCTATATTTTTTTTGAATGCCACAAGTGAATAGAGAGACAGTTTCGTCCGACTGTGAGAGGAGTGTATGATGAGGGGGATGGGATGACGTGCAAGGGGTGGGGATTCATAGGAAATCAATAGTAGACAGAGCACACTGGCACTGTAACCTGATTTGTGCTTATGAGGAGCCGAGGCAGGACAACAAAAGCAGAGAGAGAATGAAACACGCTTGAGGTTTTTATGAGGCCGCAGTGTGAGTGAATGAGAAAGTAAAGGCAGAGGCAGAACTGGACAGACAAAGGCTAATAAGAAGAATGAGCTGTGTGAGAGTAAGACAGCGAGAGAATCTCAGAGGCAGAGGAAAACAATAACACACCCTCATACAACAGCGACCAAAATGTGGCTCAGATTACAATTAGGCCTCAGCTCACGGTAAACAAAGCTCAGTGCTCCCTCTCTGCTCGTGGAGACTTCAGGAGAGATCCCAGATCACAGCGAGGTTAACAAATTCAGCCATTTAGAAGCATCTCCGTCGCTGCAGGTTTCCATCTTATTGTTCTGCTGGAGCGATCTCACCAGCAGATGTGCAGGTTTCACACCTCTCAAAGTGTGATGACGGTAAAAAGACTGATAGCCTCTGTCGCTGCTTTATTTCATTATCGTCACTTTCCCTCCTGATGTCGTTCGTCAGTCAACATGGAAACCGACCGAATCATCTTCAGTTCTGCACATTCATGGTCACAAGCCAGTTTCCCCCTAAATCACTTGAGACAAATCTGAACTGACAACTGTTTCCTCAAGGGTTTTTTTCACTGATTAAAAAAAAACGTCATATTGTTCTCTCTGTTATTATTTAACGCTGCCGTCAGTTCACGCCGTCTTCATGTATCACGCAGTGTAAGTGACTGCATGTGTGGCAGCGCTGCAGTCAGACACACTTAGCTGTGGCTTGTCAGGAGAGCACATTAGCTTCACTCTGTCATCACCGCGCTGCCTCATGAATTATTCACAGTGCACAGACTAACACAATAATCCAGCCCCTAAATCTGCACACTGTGTCATTTTACCAGTGTAATTGCGATTTACACAAATCAAAGTGCACAGCGGTTGTTTTAACCGGGACACACAGAGTCTGTAATGTGCTCTGCACCTCATTGTAGTCACAAATACTCTTGAGATGTGATGAGAGGTGAAAGGTCTGATGCAGGTGAATGCAGCATATAGAGGAGTAGGTCTGAAGGACATGACTGCAGGAGAGGATGAAGGGTATAATGTGTGTAGTTCTGGTCTGCTGCTGTAGCATAATGGTTTTGATCTTATTATATTTTCAGTCAAAAAAAAAATTGATATGAGCAGAACTGCTTGTGTCTGGTTTTCTATTATTTACAAAAAAACAGACCATAACATCCCCCAGATAAGATTATTGAATGTTATGGGAGCTGGAAAATATAATCTGCATAATGGGATTCTTTATTTGATATATTTATTATTGTATTTGATATTAACTTTTCACACTGGAAGTAAATGTGAAAAAACAACAAAGCTACTAATCGTTAAATAAACATTCACGTTGGGCAAAATAATTCATTCATTCATTCAACATCAGTCGATATATTGACACACATACAGAAATATTTCTTGTTTAAGATTTTTGCTCCTGAGCGAAGGTTGTGGTTTTAAACTCTTACAAATCTCAGTGTTGTGTTATACCTTCACTGTGATTGTACATTGCATGAGCATTATATCATCAGGCTTTTGTTGCGTTGATGAAAATGATATCACTATAATTATTGATGTTCATATCTGTTAAATCACCTTTATTTGAAAAACAAATCTTATTAAATCAGTAAATAAGGAAACTCACATTTCTGTGATATTCCAGTTTCTGCTTCCCCTCAGTGGTGGAGGTTTCCCTCATGTTGTACAATGATTGTATTTCAAGAACTCTAGACTCTAAACTCTTGACTAAATTAGTTGTTGCATTTGTGGAAGACATCAAATTGTAGCATTCAACTTTCTTTGTGCTACATATGTGCAGCACGCTCCTGATTCCGTGGCCTTGCTGCATGCAGAGGATTACAGTATTAAGACTTTGCAGACTCACTCCACTAAAAAAAGGACGTCATTGTGAACAGCTTTACTAAAACCAAAAAATGAAAACACGGGTAACGTAAAAGAGGAGTAGACGGCTCTGTGCTTGCCTCAGGCTTCTCAGTCTCAGAGTTAAAGTGCTCGCTGTCGGACTAATATATGTTATTTCATAGACGTATCGACCATCTCCAACCTTTTTTGTGAGCGATAGGTTATAAAAGTGCCTTATTCTCATTGTGCATTGCAGCACAATGACTCAACATGGCTGCTATGATCAAGATTAGAATCACAGGTTCAAGCCTGTAAATTGTGTTTCTTTCAATATTGATTTCAAATCCAACCTGTACACGACTGTGAAAATATATAATGTTATCTGACTTTCTGTAAAATCTGTGGTTTGAAGTGAAGCTGTGTTGAGGCTGAACTTCTTGCTCATGTTTCTCCCACCAGAAATTCATTGAGTTTGAAGATGCCTTGGAAGCTGAGAAGAAGGACCTGCAGGTACAGGTGGAGTTTCTGGAGCTGCAGGGGAAACAGCTGGAGCTCAAGACAAAGAACTACTCCGACCAGAGTGAGTGGACGTGACTTCACACACTGTGAAATACTGCAGAACAATCTGAGACCAGATCTGAGTGAACTCCTGAAACCTGCAAATTAAGTTTTTAACAGTTTAAAACTCCAAAACTTTGTTATATATATTCTTACATAAACCTGACTCAGGTTAAGGTAATCGTCCCCCTCTCTCACATCAACGTCACCGGCCTCATATAGTGAAACTTCCATATTTAACTGTTGACAACTAATACTACGAAAAGGCAAACAGGATAGGATTAGAGTCGGCGATATTTGGATTGATTATTTTTTCTAAACTGTTCTTCCGTCTGTCTGTGTCTCAGTCACTCGGCTGGAGGAGCGAGAATCAGACATGAAGAAAGAGTACAACGCTCTGCACCAGCGCCACACTGAGGTGAGAGAAAACGTTCGACCTAACAACTCTTCACACATCATGAAATCCACCAAACCTGCCGGCCTGTTATTATCAAATGAAGGGTCATCTGAATACTGTATTCTGTATCATCATCCTCGCATGTTTCATTATCAAAGACAGGATGTTTTAGCTCATGTTTAACCGTCTTCAGCCACATTGAAAAATGCAGTCTTTTCTCTAAAATGTCAAAATATTAAAAGATTCATTACATATTTCTTATTTTAACCGGAGTAAAAGCAAACACAGCAGAAACAGGCACTCAGGCAACTCATACCTCCGCCAGGATTTTATTTGGATCAACACCAGATTGCGCAAACTCATAAATATCAGTCCCCTAAACATGCCTGCTTTTTTTTTTCTCCATCAAGATCTGTGAATTATTCTCTGAGAAATCCAGGAAAATTTAGAAAAATGTTCTATTTCGCACTGTTAAAGATCTGGATCCACAGCAATAATGTAATTGGTTCTTCCCTGACCCAGACTGCATCCTTCCACCGAGTTTAGTGGTAATCCGCCCTGTAGTTTTTGCTTAAGCCTGCTAAATAGCAAACTCAATGAAAAGGTTACCTCCTTGGAAGGTGGACTCCATGAAGGGAGTCAGCGGCTGCCTGGAAAGTACAAATAGTAGAATAGTAGAAAACACCGAAAACTAAATGTTATACATCAAAACACAGTTTGTTAATTAGGTCTAATGCCAATTATATGAAATAAGCAGCAGTATTCAGATATCACATAATGGTCCTCTGAGCACTATAATAAATCTGATTGCAAAATATTTCTGGCAGTAGATTTTAATTCATAGAGTATTTTACATTCCTTTTACTCACCAGTACATGCATCTCACATTCCTTCACTCTCCTCAAGTCTTTGCTCATTGTTCCTGTTGTGGATCACAGATGATCCAGACGTACGTCGAGCACATAGAGCGGTCCAAAATGCAGCAGGCAGGGACCAACAGCCAATCAGAAGCACCCGGCTGTGGACGAACGTGAGTTGTTTTATATGTTTAAAGCTCATCCATCTTAACCCCATTGTCTTGTTGCTGATGTTTCATGTATTTTTCTGAATGTATGTATGTATGAGGCTTCTCATGCTCAGATGAACAGCTGGTACCTCCCACCGACAGACAGGAGAGAAAATGCACACAAACCCCCGGCAGCCATTATGAGCTTTGTCTGGAACAATAAGGAAAATATACATTTAGTTAATCAGCCTGCTTGCAGAATTCAGCGACAGGTCAACCCGTGAGTCCTGAATATTTCTGTGCACCACACATGAGGAGCGCAACCTCTGGTGCAGTTTCTGCAGCGAAATCGCAGATAAGTCGCCATGGCAACATGTTCACGATACACACAGTCTCCCAGATCTCAACTCAGATACAATCTAATGAAAGTCATCGTAATCCCACAAACCATCAACTGAGTGTGGCTCATGAAAGTTTACAACTTTTCTTCCTGAATGAGAATAAGAGCAGCCTTGTGCAAACAGTCTGTCGCACAGTTGTTGACTTGTGAGGGTGTGGGGTTGTGTCTACGTGTTTTCATGTGTCACTGCATGTTCCTGTCTCCTGTATTTCTCTAATCACTGTCTGTCTGTCTGTCTGTCTTGCTGGCTTGCTCTCTGTGCTGCTGTTTTGCACAGTCAACGCCACACATGGAGGAAAAGGTAAATCCAACATGGTCCCGCAACTGCCCCGAATCCTTTATCGTCTAAAACAAAATGCCTGCCTGGACTTAAAAATAAAAAACAGCTGCTGACGCTTCTTGTCGGTGTTGTACCTCGACTCCTCGTTTGAAAATGTGTTCCTTTATGTGTTTGCAGATGCTTGATGCAGCTGTTTGTTATCATTAGAGCGTCATTAATGCTGCTTTCTCATCAGAATGTGTGAAATAAGGAATAGTCTAAAGGTCATTTGAAGCAATGCAATCCATTTGTTCCACTTTTTGCATCTGCCTCCGCTCCCTCGTCTGCTTGTGTCTGCAGTTCCTCTGTGTGTCAGCCTGTCCTGCTTGTTTCTAGGGATGACGTTGATATGTTTTACAAAGAGGAAGTAATTATATGTATCAAGTTTAAGCAAAGTAGAAATGACTTTAACAAACAGTTGCAGTTTGAGCTGCACGTCTCTACATTTCCATATTTGCAGGCATTTGCTGCCTCTGTGTGTGTCTCGTTTTTTTTCCACACAGTTAAAAAAATATCTACTTTAAATACTCGTGTTCACTTTCTTGTCTAACAGTGATATGATTTATGTTCTTTACATAAACGGAAACAGATACAGGAAAGTTACTACACTGAATGTCACCTCCACCATGTAAACTAAGCTAACCAAGGTAATATTAAATTCCGCCACCTGCCAGATCCTGTCATGCAGGGGTTCATTCCACAAATGATCTCGAGTGTCAGTGGCCCCCTCCTCAGCGCACCCAGGGGGGAGCTGGGAGATCTGAGTTGATTTATCGGCACATGTTTATGGAACAGATTTGGCTCATTAAAAGTTCACTGCTGGTTTAAGTGTTTATGTTAAAGTGGATCCATAAGTAACGATTGATTGATTTTTTTTTAGACCCTGATTTGTGCTTGTGCATCGATAATAAATGCTGGTTATTCCTGGCTTCTCTGTGCATGTGCACTTGTAACATGGATACTTTATTTTACAATGAGGCCGGCCCCCTGTGCTGGACGCAAGTGAGTAAATATAACAAATAACTAAAGTCTCCACCTCTTTGTGTTTTCTTTACCTGCAGCAAAGCGGAGCGCCCGCCGTCGTTGAGCCTGTACCCCAGCGGCGAGGTCATGGTACGTGGGGGTCTCGGGGGGGCTAGGATGATGCCCGGGAAAGACATCTGGCAGGTCAGCGGTCTCGGCCAGTCTATCTTCAGCTCCGCCTCTCAGGTGGGACTGACAGCCAGCGGCCGTGTCCTCCTCCACGACCACCAACCGCAGCCTGGGAAGTGGAAAGGGGGAGGGGCCTGCCTTACCGCTGCCCGTCCTTCTAGCCACACCCACACGGAACCACCTCCCCTCCGCCTGCTTGTGTCACTTTAGAGGAAACTGTTTTATTCACATGAATTGGAAACCAACTCTTTAAAGTCAGATTTGTTAAGAATATGTGTTGACTCAAGCAAGCAGGGGACCCTGTAAACGCTTTTCAACAGAATTTTCTTTTCTCTGTGATCGTGAAGCTTCTGCCGTGTGTCCTCATGTTTTATTTTACACTGGCGCTTTAAGTTTAAGTTTCCTCTTTTTTAATTTTATAGTATATTGAGCTTTATATGTGACAAAAACAGCCATTGTGCATTGACTAAAAGATGATCGACAACCTGTTGAAGTCTTTAGAGAATTAATCCTGGACCCAAAGAATCAAGAGGCACATGCACAATATCTCATTCATCAAATAAGTTTAAAGTCGTCTTCTAAATATACACAAATTACCTGACCTACCTATAAGATGCTCATATAAACTGTTTGTCTCTTGTCACCATGTCATCATCTCATGCCACCGCTGTGCACCAAGGAGGATGGATCAGAATCCGACTCAGTAGCAGCCACGCCCAGCAGCACGGGGAGCAAGTCCAACACACCCACCTCCTCCGTCCCCTCCGCCACCGTCACCCCGATCAATGAGGGCTTCCTCCCACACTCCGAGTTTGATGTGATGCGGGCCGGGAACCACAGGAAAAGTGCCAAGCGGCTCAGCCGGAATATGGAAGTGCAGGTTTCCCAGGAAACCAGGAACGTCAGCATCGGTATGAGGAGCGTGGGGGTCAAAACTCGCAAATGTTTTATTAATCATGCAAAGTGCAACCAAAGTAGTTTAAAGTCCAAAGAGCAGCTGAGTGTTTGTGTCATATTTCTCCAGGGATGGGAAGCAGTGATGAATGGTCCGAGTTTCAGGAGATCATCGATTCTACTCCTGAGCTCGACATGTGTGTGGACCACCGTGTGTACGGAGGAGGAAACAGGTACCTCTACACTGTGGCCACGATATATTCACGGCATATATCGACAGCGTCTCGTGACAATCTTGTATTTTAAAGATTTAAAGAAACATGTAAAAATGTCTTTCAACATTTATTTATGAGTTAGTCAGCAGATTTTAAAAGACCGCATCAGCGTTTTTGCACGTTTACTCTAAAAATGTACATTTCCCATATTTTTTTATTCAGAGTTGTCATCAGTTAGGGTCAAACATGCAAGAAAATCTATGTGGTCCTTTTTACCCATCAATACAAGGCCAGTTACTGATTCTTTAATTCTTTAGGTAAGAGTGAAACATGTAAATGACCACGGCTGAGGGTGCCAGGCTTTAACTGACAAACATATTTGTCCCTCACCTGCAGAGAAGTGTTATATTTCAACTGAACTGAATAAAAATAGATTCCACTCTTATTGTTTAATGATTATTATCTATGTGTGTTTCAGCCCCTCCCAGGGCATCGTGAACGAGGCCTTCGGCATCAACACCGACTCCCTTTATCACGAGATTAAAGACGCCAAGTCGGACATCATCGGAGATGTAGATGCGGGCGCCGAGCTGCTAGGTATGAACAGGAGATTGGCTGAAATATCTGCTGCTGCTGTTTTTTTTGGATCATTTGTAAAATCTCCTTAATTGAGACGTAAGTCTTGACAATAAAGTTGAAACAATCTGTACATAAAAGTGCTGCCTCCTTCACTTACTCCTGACGGGATCTGGTGGAAGTGAAGTTAGAGACTTGTCCTGTACCCTGACATGACAATGTCCTGCATGTTAAAGCAACACAACGAAAGTAACTGTTTTAAAATAATTTTGATTGAACTTAAAATATGGAAAACAGCATCTCTGCCATTGCCACAGTGCTCCCGGAACACCTGACACTGAACAGATGAACCATGCAGGAAAATTTGAAACGTGCATTATATGCTTCAAATGTCACATCACAACAACCGCAACAACCAGAGCAGAGCTATGTGCCTGTCTGCAAAGGATGGCAAAAACTTTATGGATGTATTCATTTGTAAAAAATGTTATTATCAAGGAGCCTCTATACAATGCATGTGTGCAGGGTATGTATCACCCCACTGATGCTCCTGATGGCTTCTTTGGTTGCTGGTTCTCTTCAGTCTTGCTTGTAAGCAAATACACATGTTCACCGCTGTGCATGGCGAGGCTCAAACTTGTATTAATGACACCTATAAAAATATGAGTTATGCCTCCCACCTGTAGGGGGCCCTTAAGTGTCTGAGTGTACCCGAGCGATTCTCACATTGTGTTGCTTTAACATGTCAAGACGTGATATTATTTAGTAATGTCAGAATAGGTATCGACCCAGACAAAGGGAATTATTAGTGGATGCATGAGTGCATTGCACAAAGTTTTTGTGTTCTGCTGTGGTTGCTGCAGGGCAGGAGCTCCGTGTGACGCTGTGTGAATGTGCCACTGCACTGACTCAGTGTTCTTTCTTTTTACCTTGCATGGCTGAGGCTGGAATACACTCCATCCCAGCAGCTCATCTCACAGTCATCCTGAGAAAAATATATACAATCCCCAACCCCAGCTTCCCATTCTCTTACTTTTGCAATTTATTTGTCTTTCTAGTTTTTTCTTTTTTTACAGGAGAGGGACCAGGTTTAACATCAACCTTTTTCAGATGTTTTGGGTTTTAATCGACATTTATTTGTAGAACTTCAATCATTTATTATATCTATTAGATATTCAGTGCAGTGTAGTTCATATTCACAGTAGTTATTTATCCTACATTTCCACTGGCACTCTATGATGGGTTAAGACCATAGACTGTATATAAAGATGGATGAAATGTCTTTACATCCTCCCGCTCTCCAGATTTGGAAGAAATTTATATGACGTGAACTTTGACTTTTTCGTTAGTTCCACGTCCCCATCTACTAACATGGAGGAGGCAGAATTTCCACACTTAAGACACTTGTCCGTTATAGACAGTCGATGGTTCATACATTTTGATGAATCGTGTGAGATTTTTCTTAATCTTAATTATTGTTATTGGGTTCCTTTGGGTTTTGAGAGCAGAAATAAGAAGGGAGCTCCTTTGTTAACCTCTCACCCACTTCTTTTTTTCCCCTTTTATGTGCTTCTGCTGGTGACATCCATAGGCGAGTTCTCAGGTGTGTATCTTATCGTATTGGTTGGTATCTTTTTCTTTTACTCTCTCGACTTCTCTCCGAACATCCAAGAGAAGGTACTAATCAGTGTGTACGAGACAGACAAAACCACAAAACCCATTTTATTGATTTATTGCTTGGTCAGGGATTTTGTAATTTCTTTGATATCATATGGTCTAAAATCAGTACACATGCAGTAAAACACTTGTTCCCTATTCATTTAAAGTCACAGTGAAATTACTGTCACCTTTTGTGATTAGTCTGCACACCTTTTCATTCCATTGTAAATTAAAGATTTTTGAAATGCCCCTCAGTGCAGAGTCCCGCTCACCCACATGTCCAATCATATGATTTCACAGAGGCAATATGCTCCTTAAACTGTTTTACTGGGACTTTGAAATAAATCTGATACGTAAATAAATCCAATTTAGTGCCACAGGATCAACCTCCCTCCTTGACTTCTCCTTTTTTAGTCCTCTAGCCCAGCTGCTCTTCCTTAAATCCAGATTTTATAAATGCTTATCAGCATCCTCTCTTCTCTCTGTCCCTCTCTTCTTCACCATCTTCTCCGATCTGTGCCATTTTCCCTCTTTCCTTTTCCTCCTTCCCCCTTTTCTTCCTCTGCCTCCAGTTCGCGATGATTTCTATGGTAAGGCGCCCCCTCGCCTACTCTCATGGTCACATTTGCTTGTTATGTCATCCCCTGGCCTTGAGCTTTCACATCCCTCTGGTTTATTCTGTATTCTGTTTGTTTGGTTTTTTTGTGCGGCTTTATATTATATTTACATTCTGTGCCACCTTTGGATCCAACATAGCTAAAAAGAAATCTCTATAAAGATTTCCTATGAAGGGCTTTGTAGAATGGAACATTAAGATAAAAATGCCCTTTTGTTTGGACAGTAAATGTAGAAGGCGAGTGATCTCGTGGTGAAGTGGCAGAGCAGAAACACAACAGTGTGTGTGTGTGTGTGATGGGATCTGGAGACTGTTGAGGATTGGAATGAGATGATTGGACTCAGCTGCCTGGAGACGACTGGGGGGGGGGCGGTTGTGGCAAATTGTTGAAATGACAGCGACAGAGAGGAGAAGAGATTTAAAGTTTGACAGCAACGAAGTGATTGGCAGTCAGCGAATTTGGGAAACTCAACTCAAACAGTTTTCGATAAGTGTCTGATCCTTCCAGTGACATCTGAGTCGATAATAATATCCCAACACTGGCCTGTTTACGGTGAGAGTGGATGTGTCAGACAAATGTACACACAGTAAGAACACTTCTCCTCAGGCCGCCCTGCTCATCACCTCTAAAGTGCAGGATATGAGTGAATTATTTTAAGGTCATGTCTGGTTACTGGCAGTTTGTTGTCGTCAGTGTCGGGGGTTATAGGTTTGGTCTGAGCTTCCTGAGTTGACACAAGTTGAACTTCGCGTCATTTTTCCTCCTCTCCAGTCAGGTCACACATCACAGCAGAAACTTTTCGAAACACAAAGTTTTCTAACCGAGTTTTCACCAATAATCTATCACTTGTCTTCTGCAGATTCTGACACTTGGTATAAAATAAACACACTCTTTTTGTTCGGTTTTTTATTATTTTTTATTTTTACATGTTCTTATGTGCAAACCTTTCATTTCTGCTTAAAGTTTGTGGGTTGGGCTCGTGTTGCACACTGCTTGCTGCTTCAATGTAAATGTTTCAGTTAATTTCTCGCAAGAATTTAGACGTTTTTAGGATTTAATAGGTTGAGCATATTAACTTCCATAAATTCTGAATAAATGGGCATTTGTGGAATATCACGGATCATTTTTCTTTTAAGGGGTGAAAAAACATTCTCACAGTACTGAGCTAAATAGGAGAATACTTCCCAGTTATGCTGTAGCAGATGTCGCAGTTGAGTCGACTGTTTTTCAGTTTTGTGACATAGAACTTAATCTTCGTAGGAGTATTTCATCATTTGCCACACTGCTGACACCTTGGTAGATATGTAAGACAGTGAAATGCATTTGTCAATCTTTGTGTTGACTGATTGTTGGTCGTGTGAATAATGTGTGATCATGTGGACGTGACTGTTTCAGGGATGGGCAAGGAGGTGGAGAACCTGCTGACAGAGAACAAACAGCTCCTAGAGACCAAGTAAGAGACACAGAGGAGGACGAGTATGTGCGACATGTTGTCAAAGGAGCATTTGGACGTGACGGCTCAGCTCGTAGTCTCCTGCAGCTTGTTTCGGTTCCTCACTGCCTCCTCTCTCTTTGCTCGGCAGAAACGCTCTGAACATTGTGAAAAACGACCTTATTGCCAAAGTGGACGAGCTGTCAGGGGTGCAGGAGGTGCTGAGGGAGGAGCTGGAGGCCGTGAGGCAGTCAAAGAACAAGGTGGACGCCAGAGTCAAGGAGCTGGAGGAAGAACTCAAGAGGTGAAAACGACATGTTCCTTCAAATACTGTCTGTGGTTGACAACGTTTTAGACAGTTTGCAGTTTATTTCAAACTCCTGTCAGTTCAGTCTGTGAGGGTTCACGGTTCCAGTCCTTAGGTTGTGTCATTGAGATTCAGTCCCAGTCTCAGCTGGAGACCGCTCCTCACATCGACTAGTTCTCTGTAACTGTTTTGGCTTTTGTGTTGCAGGTTAAGAGCAGAAGCTCTCGGTGCGTCTCGGGACTCTAAGGATGAAGGAGCTGATGATGTGAGTAAATGAGTCATGGAGATATCCCTCCATTTATTTTTCACCGATTCAGTGTAATAATGAAAATCTCACATTGTAGAAAAACACGTCTGCCTCTTAAACGACTCTGTGCTCCGATGTTCCCAGTTCTCATCACCCATGCAGGACGGCGACATGACAATGACGCAGCGGCGGCGATTCACCCGGGTGGAGATGGCGCGTGTGCTGATGGAGAGGAACCAGTACAAAGAGAGACTGATGGAACTGCAGGAGGCCGTGCGGTGGACCGAAATGATCAGGTAGAGGAAAGATGCTGATCTGGAGAAACTCAACACAGTGAATAAATTGTAAAAAAAAAATAAGAAACACTCCCCTGTGGTTTATCTCCATTGCATTGAACTCAGACCTCTCTTTCCTCTCAGGGCGTCCCGGGAGAGTCCTCCAATCCAAGAGAAAAAGAAGTCAACCATCTGGCAGTTGTGAGATTCTGATTTAATGTTTGAAATACACTTGAGAAAAACAAAAACCTAAAAACAAATCAAACCTCTTCTCTCCTCTCTCTGCCTCTGTCCACCAGCTTTGCACGTCTCTTCAGCACATCGTCCAGCCCTCCACCGGTCAAGCGGCCGTACTACAGCGTCAACATCCACTACAAGTCGCCCTCACCGGCTGGTTTCTCTCAGCGACGCAGCCAAACCATGTGTCAGATCTCCACCTCCAACCGCACGCTGGAGTTCTTCCCCGAAGAGTGAGCAGCGACCTTCACTTAACTTCACACCGAAGCTCCCACCTTCTCTGCTTCTCACTCTGCTTGTGGCCTGAACACCTGGTCGCTTGCTTGCTTTTGGCAGCTTTAAGAGTAGAAAGCTTCCAGCAGATTCTCAAACATTCAACATACATGATGTATGTTCAAATTCACATGCTGGTCCTTCCCAGGATTATTGTTCCAGTTCATATTTCATTCAGAGGAAGCTTCAGGCACAATATATGATATAACCTGAAAGGTACTTGTTAAAGGAAGTTTAAAAAAAGTTTCAAGAAAGTCGGTTCTTGTGTGCACGTGGATCTGGGCTCCGAAGCTTCAAAAGTTATTGTAGTGAAAACATTTCTGCACATTAGAAAATTTAGTTTGAGGTGAATTCACTTTTTTTACCTTACAGAGTTTGAATTGGAAAGTTTATTGTTTTATAAAATCTCTTATTCACCAACACAGACACATAGATACACACAGTACTGGCATCAGACACACGTGCTCAACACAAACTGTTTCATCACCTCATTCTTGCACAAATGCCAAAAAAGCTTTTAAAAAGCTTTTGCGTTTCAGTTTCAGGTGATGAAACACTTGTTTGGCTCCAGCTATAGAGCAAAGCTTAGTTTAACCACTGCAGCTGCTTTATGTTCCTCCTCTCAGTCTTCTCATCTCTTTCTGCTGCCTCCTGCTGACGGCTGGCCGGGCTGCTAACGCTTCGCTCTTTTCTCTCTCTTCCCTGCCTCCCCTCCCTCCATTGCTTGCAGACTGGCCAGTAACGGTGTTGCGTCTCTCCTCAGTGACTCGGCGCTCTTAGCCCGCCGAGAGCAGCGACGCGAACAGTACCGACAGGTCCGCGAGCACATGCGCCGCGATGACGGCATCATGCAGGCTTGTGGCTGGAGCGTGCCATCTCGCTTCAAACAGGTACAGGCACGTACACAAGGACCCTGGGCCTCCATGCACTGCACAACAAAAACACACGTTTACATGTGGAGAGCAAACTACCAGTGGTTTGACTCATTGATGTGTGTCACTGACAGCCAGGGAGGGGACATCTGTGTAACCACATGAGGTCTGATGAAGCTTTGGAGTTTGTGAAATGATCAGAAAGACGTTTCATTTCTGTGGTAACGAACCAGCCTCTGTAAACCTGTGAAAATACACCTTCAAAGATTTGGAGAAAATCGTGACCCAGCTCTCACCACGACCAGGACAAGATAAGTGGAGGGATGAGAAAATAAATAAGCTGTAGGCTCAGGAGGCAGAGCGGGTCGTCCTCTAACCTGAGGGTTCGCTGTTCTACCCCAGCATCCCCCATTCCATCTGCCAAAGAGCCCTTGGGCAAGATACTGACGGCAGTGTGTGAGTAAATATACATAAATATGTGTGTGAATAGCAAAAAACCCTTAACTCTTACCTTAAAACACTGTGAGGGGTCAGTAAGCGAAATATAAATACAGCACATTTACCATTTACATGTTTAGGTCCTGGAGGCTGAGCCATGAATCTTCACACATTTATACTGTTGAAATTCTCGTGCTGATTTTTTCACAGGTTTACAAAGTGTGATTTCATGAAAGTTATTTCTGAACATCTTTTCACAAGCTCGAAATCATACTCACTCGTTTGGAGATCTCACATTATCCCAGTATAAAGATAACGTGCAAGCTTTTTAAGATGATCTACTTCCTTCCAGGGAAGTCACTGATTAATAATGAATGTTCTGTATATGTTCAGTGTACATTTAAAAACATATTTATTTAGACTGTGATGATTGATGCAACATCTCTAGTTTATCTAAAACATTAAAAAAAACTCTTATGTAGAATTATTGTATTATTATTCATCTGTCTTTAGTAGTCGTAAGACAACGATTGAGGAATAATGACAAATATGAAGCTTTGACGACAAAAACAATCTGTGTTTGTCCTTTGATTTAAGCCAATGTTGGCAAGAATGTTTAAAAAAAAGGTTTAAGCAGCGTCACAGTGCACCTTTAGATTTTCTCTGTCAGACTTGAGGGGTTGATCCCCGTGCAGCTCGAGGGCCAGAGTGTGTTGTTAGGATGGTGGCTCTAACTCTGGTCTCCCACAGACTGGTGGTCAGACGGACAGCGCTCAGGAAAGCCCGCTGAAGAGACAACAGGCAAGTGAGACCAACAGATCAACTTCCTAAAATGAATGATCCTTTAAAGAAGTTCTCATCACACAGATGTTTTCATTTTTCCTGCAAGTTTGGTTTTAATTAGTTAATTATTTGATGATATAAAACAGTGGGAAAAGTCATGATTGACACACACACACACACACACACACACACACAGTTGTGTCCTCATCACTGGCTCCTGCTTTGATTTAATGTATTGGATCAGTGTGCAGTCACATTGGAGGTGCACTGAGGGAACCACACCTAATTCATTGCTGTAGTTTCTTCTTC